CCGGGCAGTCATAACCAAGACCTCCAGGCAGACATAACCAAGACCTTCCAGGGGCAGTCATAACCAAGACCTCCGGGCAGTCATAACCAAGACCTCCGGGCAGTCATAACCAAGACCTCCGGGCAGTCATAACCAAGACCTCCGGGCAGACATAACCAAGACCTCCGGGCAGTCATAACCAAGACCTCCGGGCAGACATAACCAAGACCTCCGGGCAGTCATAACCAAGACCTCCGGGCAGTCATAACCAAGACCTCCGGGCAGTCATAACCAAGACCTCCGGGCAGTCATAACCAAGACCTCCGGGCAGTCATAACCAAGACCTCCGGGCAGTCATAACCAAGACCTCCGGGCAGTCATAACCAAGACCTCCGGGCAGTCATAACCAAGACCTCCGGGCAGTCATAACCAAGACCTCCAAGACATAACTCCGGGCAGACATAACCAAGACCTCTGGGCAGTCATAACCAAGACCTCCAGGCAGTCATAACCAAGACCTCCGGGCAGACATAACCAAGACCTCCGGGCAGTCATAACCAAGACCTCCGGGCAGTCATAACCAAGACCTCCGGGCAGACATAACCAAGACCTCCGGGCAGTCATAACCAACACCTCCGGGCAGTCATAACCAAGACCTCCGGGCAGTCATAACCAAGACCTCCGGGCAGTCATAACCAAGACCTCCGACATAACCAAGACCTCCAGGCAGTCATAACCAAGACCTCCGGGCAGTCATAACCAAGACCTCCGGGCAGTCATAACCAAGACCTCCGGGCAGTCATAACCAAGACCTCCGGGCAGTCATAACCAAGACCTCCGGGCAGTCATAACCAAGACCTCCGGGCAGTCATAACCAAGACCTCCGGGCAGTCATAACCAAGACCTCCGGGCAGTCATAACCAAGACCTCCGGGCAGTCATAACCAACATAACCACCTCCGGGCAGACATAACCAAGACCTCCGGGCAGTCATAACCAAGACCTCCGGGCAGTCATAACCAAGACCTCCGGGCAGACATAACCAAGACCTCCGGGCAGTCATAACCAAGTCCTCCGGGCAGACATAACCAAGACCTCCGGGCAGACATAACCAAGACCTCCGGGCAGACATAACCAAGACCTCCAGGCAGACATAACCAAGACCTCCGGGCAGTCATAACCAAGACCTCCGGGCAGACATAACCAAGACCTCCGGGCAGACATAACCAAGACCTCCGGGCAGTCATAACCAAGACCTCCGGGCAGTCATAACCAAGACCTCCGGGCAGTCATAACCAAGACCTCCGGGCAGTCATAACCAAGACCTCCGGGCAGTCATAACCAAGACCTCCGGGCAGTCATAACCAAGACCTCCAGGCAGACATAACCAAGACCTCCGGGCAGACATAACCAAGACCTCCGGGCAGTCATAACCAAGACCTCCAGGCAGTCATAACCAAGACCTCCTGGCAGACATAACCAAGCCCTCCGGGCAGTCATAACCAAGACCTCCAGGCAGACATAACCAAGACCTCCGGGCAGTCATAACCAAGACCTCCGGGCAGTCATAACCAAGACCTCCGGGCAGTCATAACCAAGACCTCCGGGCAGTCATAACCAAGACCTCCGGGCAGTCATAACCAAGACCTCCGGGCAGACATAACCAAGACCTCCGGGCAGTCATAACCAAGACCTCCGGGCAGTCATAACCAAGACCTCCGGGCAGACATAACCAAGACCTCCGGCAGACATAACCAAGACCTCCGGGCAGTCATAACCAAGACCTCCGGGCAGACATAACCAAGACCTCCGGGCAGTCATAACCAAGACCTCCGGGCAGACATAACCAAGACCTCCGGGCAGTCATAACCAAGACCTCCGGGCAGACATAACCAAGACCTCCGGGCAGACATAACCAAGACCTCCGGGCAGTCATAACCAAGACCTCCAGGCAGTCATAACCAAGACCTCCGGGCAGTCATAACCAAGACCTCCGGGCAGACATAACCAAGACCTCCGGGCAGACATAACCAAGACCTCCGGGCAGACATAACCAAGACCTCCGGGCAGTCATAACCAAGACCTCCGGGCAGACATAACCAAGACCTCCGGGCAGACATAACCAAGACCTCCGGGCAGTCATAACCAAGACCTCCGGGCAGACATAACCAAGACCTCCGGGCAGTCATAACCAAGACCTCCAGGCAGACATAACCAAGACCTCCGGGCAGACATAACCAAGACCTCCGGGCAGTCATAACCAAGACCTCCGGGCAGTCATAACCAAGGCCTCCGGGCAGTCATAACCAAGACCTCCGGGCAGTCATAACCAAGCCCTCCGGGCAGACATAACCAAGACCTCCGGGCAGCCTCCGGACAGTAACCAAGACCTCCGGGCAGTCATAACCAAGACCTCCGGGCAGTCATAACCAAGACCTCCGGGCAGACATAACCAAGACCTCCGGGCAGACATAACCACGACCTCCGGGCAGTCATAACCAAGACCTCCGGGCAGACATAACCAAGACCTCCTTGCAGTCATAACCAAGACCTCCGGGCAGTGATAACCAAGACCTCCGGGCAGTCATAACCAAGACCTCCGGGCAGTCATAACCAAGACCTCCAGGCAGTCATAACCAAGACCTCCGGGCAGTCATAACCAAGACCTCCGGGCAGTGATAACCAAGACCTCCGGGCAGTCATAACCAAGACCTCCAGGCAGACATAACCAAGACCTCCAGGCAGTCATAACCAAGACCTCCGGGCAGTCATAACCAAGACCTCCGGGCAGACATAACCAAGACCTCCGGGCAGTGATACCAAGACCTCCGGGCAGTGATAACCAAGACCTCCGGGCAGTCATAACCAAGACCTCCGGGCAGTCATAACCAAGACCTCCAGGCAGACATAACCAAGACCTCCGGGCAGTGATAACCAAGACCTCCGGGCAGTCATAACCAAGACCTCCGGGCAGTCATAACCAAGACCTCCTGGCAGTCATAACCAAGACCTCCGGGCAGTGATAACCAAGACCTCCGGGCAGTCATAACCAAGACCTCCGGGCAGTGATAACCAAGACCTCCGGGCAGTCATAACCAAGACCTCCGGGCAGTGATAACCAAGACCTCCGGGCAGTCATAACCAAGACCTCCGGGCAGTCATAACCAAGACCTCCGGGCAGACATAACCAAGACCTCCGGGCAGTCATAACCAAGACCTCCGGGCAGTCATAACCAAGACCTCCGGGCAGACATAACCAAGACCTCCGGGCAGTCATAACCAAGACCTCCGGGCAGACATAACCAAGACCTCCGGGCAGACATAACCAAGACCTCCGGGCAGACATAACCAAGACCTCCGGGCAGTCATAACCAAGACCTCCGGGCAGTCATAACCAAGACCTCCGGGCAGTGATAACCAAGACCTCCGGGCAGTCATAACCAAGACCTCCGGGCAGTGATAACCAAGACCTCCGGGCAGTCATAACCAAGACCTCCGGGCAGTCATAACCAAGACCTCCAGGCAGACATAATTAAGACCTCCGGGCAGTCATAACCAAGACCTCCGGGCAGACATAACCAAGACCTCCGGGCAGTCATAACCAAGACCTCCGGGCAGACATAACCAAGACCTCCGGGCAGACATAACCAAGACCTCCGGGCAGACATAACCAAGACCTCCAGGCAGTCATAACCAAGACCTCCGGGCAGACATAACCTAAGACCTCCAGGCAGACATAACCAAGACCTCCGGGCAGACATAACCAACATCTCCAGGCAGACATAACCAAGACCTCCGGGCAGACAAAACCAAGACCTCCGGGCAGACATAACCAAGACCTCCAGGCAGTCATAACCAAGACCTCCAGGCAGACATAACCAAGACCTCCAGGCAGACATAACCAAGACCTCCAGGCAGACATAACCAAGACCTCCAGGCAGACATAACCAAGACCTCCAGGCAGACATAACCAAGACCTCCAGGCAGACATAACCAAGACCGCAGCATATGGAACGCTGTCAAATATTAGAACGTTGTTTAGAAGCCTAAATTAGGACTCGTTCTATGCAATCTACACAGCTATTGTTAGACCAGTACTGGAGTATGCAACACCTGCTTGGACTCCATACCTTGTGAAAGAAAGCTAAAATTGAAAAAGTGCGCAGGTTGGCTACTAGAAGAGTGCCAGAGCTCAGAGGGTTAAGTTATGATAATAGGCTGACTGAAGGAGATTTCACAGCCTTGGAGGACAGAAGAACTACAGGAGATATGATAAAAACATACAAGAAATGGATATTAATGCACTAGAACACGTCCAGCGTAGGATGACAGATTAAAAGAATCAACACAAGACAGAACACGAAATAATGGGTTTAAATTAGATAAGTTTAGATTTAGCAAAGACCTGGGTAAATACTTGTTCGATAACAGGGTTGTTGATATGTGGAACCAATTACCCCGTAACATAATATAAGTAGGATTCTTTGATGGTTTCAAGCGTAGATTAGACATATATGAATATGAATGGATGGATATAAATAGGAGCTGCCTCGTATTGGCCAATAGGCCTTCTGTTGTTACCTTCATTTTTATTCTCTTATGTTCTTATACAGAACATATTGTACTCTGGACGGTAATGGTTATCTGAAACCAGACGAACTTGTTCAACCAGCAAGGTTATATTAACTTATTAGTTTCATGTTGTGGTCAGTTAACTGGACTTACTGGTGGAAAGTTTGTTCCCACGAACACTTCCCTCAAGCAGGCGAGGAGTCACAATAACGTCGCTAAAGTATGTGGACCAGACCACACACTAGAAGGTGAAGGGACGACGACGTTTCGGTCCGTCCTGGACCATTTTGAAGACAATCAACTTGAGAATGGTCCAGGACGAACCGAAACGTCGTCATCCCTTCACCTTCTAGTATGTGGTCTGGTCAACACTTCCCTCAATTTGTAACTGTGACCGTCACTACAACTAATAATACCACCATTATGACTGTAGCAGGAGAGTCTACTCACCTCCGTCAGTAGTCATGTCACACCAGGCAGACACCGGCCGTCCCTCCCTGTGGGAGAGATCACAACTCATAAAACACCTCAACACTTCACCAAGTTAAGGCCTGAACATCACCAACATAATGTTTGAGATGTCCAGCAGCTACATAAAACTCTCCAGAACCAAGCATGTTAATCATTACTGTGGAGACAGCCCACATCACGGGTAAAGACCTCCTGGTTAAGTCCAGGCACCGCGCACCATTTTGTATCACATGTTGAATCACAGAAGCTGAGTCACTTGTTTTGAGTGATTCAGCTCACTTGTTTTCTTGTGAGAAATTCTCACAGCTCTCTTGATTTCAGCGAACATCGCAAGTTTTTCTGAAGGAATTTTAAAGCCTTAGTAAAAATCTTGCGATAGTAGCTGAAATCAAGAGCTGTGAGAGTACTAACCAATCAGGGAAAAGCTGTCAAATTTCTGTGGATCTCCTCCCATGTTGGAATCTGTGGTAATGAACAAGCAGATGTGCTGGCTGCTGAAGGACACCAGATTGAGTACGTCATCTTGAGGTTATCTTGAGATGATTTCGGGGCTTTAGTGTCCCCGCGGCCCGGTCCTCGACCAGGCCTCCACCCCCCAGGAAGCAGCCCGTGACAGCTGACTAACACCCAGGTACCTATTTACTGCTAGGTAACAGGGGCATAGGGTGAAAGAAACTCTGCCCATTGTTTCTCGCCGGCGCCCGGGATCGAACCCGGGACCACAGGATCACAGTCCAGCGTGCTGTCCGCTCGGCCGACCGGCTCCCTACCAAAGTCATACCCAAAACTCTTTTACAAATTAGAGGTATCATGAGGCAATATCACGGTTACAAGGTTACTGAGGAAAGGAGAGTAGAAGAACAAATCAGTGAATCTGTACACTGGTACAGCATGACTGCAGCTGGCAATCCCAATCATTATTCTAGAAGAGGAGGTGGCCACGGGAGAGAATCAGTAATAGCGAGAATCCGTCTTGCATACATATATCCATCAAGATTTAGAATAGAAACAACAGTTGAGGAGCGGAGTTGCAGATTCAGAGGTGAAAGTGACGGACACCGCATAGAACACTACCTGAGAGAATATGAACATCTGAGAGACATTAGAAATATGTGTAGAACAATAAACCCCCACTTTGTATGAGTTAGGAAAATATTCTTTGTCAAATATAGATACTGTTATTAAAAGATTCCCCCATTTTGCACCTGCAAGATAACATAAGATTTTAAGGGTTGTCTAATGTTAATCTTCTTTTTTGAGAAACTTTTCAATTGAGGCAGTTAGGCCAGTCCCAGCTGTGTCTGGGTGCAAGTGGCAGGATGAACAACCCAGCGGGTTTTCCTACTATTGGGGAGTGTTGTACATGCTGCTATGGCGGTGTGTCCACTCACAGGATGAGTGGCGCTGTCCAATAAACTCGCCCTTCGGGGCAAAACTAAACAAAAATTGTTTTGAGTCACTCATCCTGAGGCACTCATACGGAGTCTCATTGACTCATTGATACAGACACTTTTATTGAGTCACTTATAATACGCCGCTCACACTGAATCATACAAAGTCCCTCCTACATAGTTGCTCATACTGAGTCACCCTCAAGGAATCACTCAGTCTGAGTAACTCACTCTGAATCACTTGGATTTAGTCATTCTTGCTGAGCAACTCATACACTGAGCAACTCAAACACTGAGCAACTAAAGCACACATAATCGGTCACTCACTCTGAGTCAGACATGTGTGACACTATTACTGAGTCACACGTCTGAGTTGTGGAAAATGTTTATTATATTGACTATCAGCAAGGTATTTGGTGGTGTGAGAGTATGAACACTTCCTAAGTGTTCCCCTAGCAACACCCTCCCAACACCAGTCTACACCCTGCCACACTAGCTCCTATTAATTATCTTTGTTTATACACTGTGGAGACATGTTGTAACACCTTCTAACACGTTGTAACAACTGTCTAGCAAGTTGAAACAACTAAACCGCCATAAAAACTGTATAACAAGATGAAACCCCTTTTTAACGAAGTAACAATAGGGACCGTTACACTGTGTGTTTGCAGAGTGATGGATTTTGACTCCAAGTTCCTTCATTATGTTCAGTAATATGCCGCAAGGTAATGTTAATCATTTGGTTGTTGTGACGTGGGTTGTTATATCCCCCATGTAAGGTCTTGCATTTGTTACATTAAAAAGCATTTGCCAGTCTTCTGACCATTTGTGGAGTTATGTGGATTTCTTCCTAAGTCCTCGATATCATTTTCACTTCCCACTTCACCATAAATTTTTGTGTCATCTGCAAAATGATGATGTGGGGAGGATGAAGGAACGGGGAAGTGGGGGATGGTGGATAGGAGGGGACGGAGGAGTGAAGAATGGTTGACAAGGGGACAGGGGAATGGGAGATGGTGAAGGGGGGGGGGGAAATGGTGGGGAGGACGAAGGGACGGGGGTGTGGGGGGGGGGGTGATGGGGAGGACGAGGGGGACCGGAGATGATGGGAATGGTGAGTAGGATGGGGGAACAGGGGAGGGTTGCTGTGGCTCAGCAACGCGCATGCGTTGCTAAGTCACAGCAACGCGTGGCTGGGTACAGCTAGTATATACTATGAAAACAATTGGGTTGAAAATGGATCCCTGTGGTACCCTACTCACCACATTTCTCCAGTCAGATTCCTTCCCATTTAGCACAACCTTCTGTTTTCTTTGTTTTAACCATTGTTTTATTTATTCTTGTTTTATTTCATTTGATTTATTTACAAGTAATTTAATAAATAGAATACTATTTATTCCATGTGCCTGTAATTTCCTTGCTAGTCTTTCATGTGGTACCTTTTATCGAAAGCATTATCACAGTGCATATATACTACATCTGCTGGAAGTCCTTTGTCTGAGTAGCTCGTTACCGTTTCCAAAAATGTGATCTATTTTTAACATACCAAAGTTGAGTTGATATTACAAAATTGTTCACTGTGAGATGGTGGATGATTCTCTCCCTTAGGACTCTCCACATGAGCTTGCAGATGTGTGATGTCAAGCTAATCGGACGGTAGCTTTCTACTGAGCTTTCTGTCTATTTTGGAAATAGGGGTGACAGTGGAGGGTAGAAATAGCCCTAGCTATTCTATCCTTTTGAGATGTATCATATTGTCTCAATAAATGTACTTGAACTTGAAGGGGTGACATTTGCATATTTCTAATCTAGGGGAACTATCCCGTGGTCCAGAGATTTTCTGGAAAGGAGTTTCAGTGGTAGGTATAGTTCCTCTGCCAGTTCCTTTACGGTTTAGAATATAATTCTGACCACAACTGGGGTACCCAACCACTTTGGGTGGACGGTAGAGCGACGGTCTCGCTTCATGCAGGTCGGCGATCAATCCCCGACCGTCCAAGTAGTTGGGCACCGTTCATCGCCCCCCCCCCCACATCCCGTACGTCCCATCCGAAATCCTTAGCCTCATCCCTTCCCAGTGCTATATAGTCGTAATTGCTTAGCACTCTCCTGATAGTTCCCTTCCCTTCCCCCCACCTGGGGTGTTTGAGTCTTATAGTTTGTCAGTGCTCTTCCTGGTAATGTTGCACGTTATGGTTATATCACTTAATTCGTTCTCTTCACCTTCTTCAAATATTTGTGTGGGTAATGGGATGCCACATAAACTTTCTAGTGTAAACACTGATGTTAAGTATTCATTCAGTGCTGTTGCACTTTTATCGTCCAATTCAATTTGGTTAGAGTTATCTTATCATGGTCGACCGAGTCTTTTGTTTAGTTTTTCTTCTTATAGGCATAGAACGACTTAGGAACTTTCTTTATGTTTTGAGCAACTGGTTTTCGTAGTTTCTTTTGACTGATCTAATTTCCTTTTTGGCTGAGTTTAATGCCTTTTATATATCCTATAATTAGTGATGTTCATCATGGATTTATATCTCCTCCAGAGGGCGTTTAAATTATATAATTGAATCATTTTATAGTTCTACTTTTATTCGATGTTAGCTTACTGACCATATGTTTAAGCACTTGTGGGCCGATATATTAGCAATTAAAATTGAGTAACTAGCACCCCGCTCTCCCAACTCCGGGGTGGAGGGGACGTCAACTCTGGGGTGGAGGGGACGTCAACTCTGGGTGGAGGGACGTCAACTCCGGGTGGAGGGACGTCAACTCCGGGGTGGAGGGACGTCAACTCCGGGGTGGAGGGACGTCAACTCCGGGGTGGAGGGACGTCAACTCAGGGGTGGAGAGACGTCAACTCCGGGGTGGAGGGACGTCAACTCGGGGGTGGAGAGACGTCAACTCCGGGGTGGAGGGACGTCAACTCCGGGGTGGAGGGACGTCAACTCAGGGGTGGAGGGACGTCAACTCCGGGGTGGAGGGACGTCAACTTTGTTTTGGAGGGACGTCAACTTAGGGGTGGAGGGACGTCAACTCAACTCGGGTGGAGGGACGTCAACTCTGGGGTGGAGGGACGTCAACTCCGGGGTGGAGGGACGTCAACTCTGTGGTGGAGGGACGTCAACTCTGGGTGGAGGGACGTCAACTCTGGGGTGGAGGGACGTCAACTCCGGGGTGGAGGGACGTCAACTCCGGGGTGGAGGGACGTCAACTCTGTGGTGGAGGGACGTCAACTCTGTGGTGGAGGGACGTCAACTCCGGGGTGGAGGGACGTCAACTCTGTGGTGGAGGGACGTCAACTCTGTGGTGGAGGGACGTCAGCTCTGTGGTGGAGGGACGTCAACTCCGGGGTGGAGGGACGTCAACTCCGGGGTGGAGGGACGTCAACTCCGGGGTGGAGGGACGTCAACTCCGGGGTGGAGGGACGTCAACTCCGGGGTGGAGGGACGTCAACTCTGGGGTGGAGGGACGTCAACTCCGGGGTGGAGGGACGTCAACTCCGGGGTGGAGGGACGTCAACTCCGGGGTGGAGGGACGTCAACTCCGGGGTGGAGGGACGTCAACTCCGGGGTGGAGGGACGTCAACTCCGGGTGGAGGGACGTCAACTCCGGGGTGGAGGGACGTCAACTCCGGG